TATTCATATATATATATGTATATATATATATATATATATATATATATATATATATATATATATATATGGTAATACAATCAGATATATTTACATTATCACAGCTCAGAGCCATTTGAATCACACTTTGCACGTAACTCTTAATGGTTTTAGTTAGCCTGCCTTACAGATTAGATATGAGAAAAATAAAGTAGCAGACAATGTTTAGTGACTTTACATACCTCATTGTTGGAGCAAAGAATAACAATTTTAACTTGTAAAAATCCACCACAGTAAAAAAAAAAAAAACCAGCATGGTGACAATCATCAGTTGTTTTACGCAGCTTCACTCTGAACAGAACATCAGTTCTGGTTTAATTAGGTGAATATAATTCAAGAGATTGCTGTCCTGTGCCCTAATAACTTGCACTGATTAATAAACTTTTGACAAAATCGACCTTTTTATTATGAAGGGTTCTAATAAATAGTTGATTAAAACTTTTAAATCGCAAAGTTAAAACAAAGCAAAAAGTCCTATCTTTAAATGATTCCCAAGGATTATTGTTTAATAGCTTTTAATCAGCTGGCAGTGGAGTGCGTGGGTGGTTTTTCTGTGATTGACACAGCACATTAGAGCGTACAGGGACCACAGCAGGTTCAACTGCTTCTAAAACTATCAGAGCAAACAAACTGAAGATAAACTCACCTATAACATCTTGTAATCCACTCTTAATTAATAAAACCAAGACAAAATTGGTATTTTTATCGAGGAGGCTGATGATTTTCGACTCTGGCTCTCACTCAAGACAGACGCTCCTGCTCTCCCTCCCCCTGTTCTCCTTCCTCCTGCTCTGCTCTCTGTGTGTTTGAAGCTCCTGGTACACATCTCCCAAACAAAAAACATGATTATGGATCTGGTGAGTTGGACTTTAAATGCAATCTACAAAATCTTTTTAACAAAACGACAGGGTCCTGGAGAACCCGCTTGTCCGGCTGGGACTCATGCCGTGGGGAGTTTGGCAGCCGATGTGTCTCTCATCTCAGTCTCAGGAGGACACTGAAGACATTTATATATTTGGAATTATGATAGCTGGGGTTCAGCTCTTAGGCATCGGTGGGGCTCTGTTTTATCAACCTAATTTTGGCCATGGCAAAGTTTCTGAGTCAGTACGAAGGTTTGGTTCTTGCTAGGAGTACTCAAAATCAGCTGATTTACGAGCTAAACAGTAAGATGGAGGCAATTGGTGAGAATTGAAGGCCACCTGCAGCTCCTAGGACTCATCAGCATGTTGGGATCGACCTTGGAGAGGGCTCATAACATGGATCAGTGGAGTGGAATACCCATAAATTTGGTCATTTTGGACCGGAAAGTTCCAACAGGACTCAAGGTTGATGAGAAAAAAGTCTGACTGAAGAAAAATCAACAATTGTGGCTTATCTGAATCTGACTCCCGGCCTCAGATACAAGCCGACTATCAAATTTCTCCTGGGACATGAGTACCCAAAGACAAAAGCTTCATCTATTGTACGTACATATTCGCATTGTACCTCGGTGCAATTCCAATAAAGTTTATTCTGATTCTGATTCTGAAATGTCTGATAATCTTATTTGTTTGTTTCCAGTGGTGGGCACAGCTACCCAAAAAGTTAGCATTGCTAAACCATATTCCCCTAACTAAACAATTAGCCTTGCTAACACTAAGCTGCTAAACAGGTTAACATTGTTTTTGCTGAAGCTAATGCTAAACTGATAACTGCTAAGACAACTGTCACTCAGTCTGCATCGCACGTCTTCGTCTCTTTCCAGCTGAAGCTATGTCGACCAATCACGTCTTGTCACATGTACAATTAGTAAGCCTAACAGACTCTTTGAGACACTCCCACAACAGACAGGAAAAATATCCTGATGCATGCTCAATAATCCAGGTAGAAAAATCCAAAAAAGTTCAATCTGGTCCTCTGGACATTCAAAACAAAAAAAACAAACAAAAAAGACAAAGCAAACAAACAAGACAGGAAAAAGCTTATTAATTTTTTTGGCGGACTTAAAGTTGGAAAAACGTAATTTAGTGAAAGCTAATTCTGTTAACAGATTCCAAATTTAGCACAAATCCTACTCTGTTAAATAAAAAAATATATTTTGCAGTTAGCTGTTAGCAGATTAGTGGAACTGTGGCCACCACTGTTTTATTTGTTTAATTTAGCATTTATGCTCCTTTACCGCAGCAACCCAGAAATTTATCACACAACTTACAAATTTCATCAGCCAAGTCTGTAAAACAAATACTTTGCCATAAACCTACCATAAAATTGATAAAAAAAATAAGACCACTAAAATCAGTCCTAGATGAAATAAACAGTATATAACAAACAAACGTTTATAACCGTATGTGCAGTTCTTCAACAGAGACAAAGCAGGTCTCAGTAAATTGCTGTACCTTGAGTGCAATAAGGCAGCAATAAGTTTAAAATATATTGATGAATAAATAAAGTATAAAGGTCTAAAAAGAAGCTTATGAATATTAAGAAAACCATTTTTTTTAATTGATGGTAATTGAAAGCATGGTGATCTAGAGTAAATAATTAAAACCAATTATAAAACGAATCAAGTGTTTACATTCAAGCTTATATGCATTTCCCCATATTTTAAATATAATATCTGCACAAAATGAAGTATTCTGAGCACGCTCAAAGCAGTGGCAGGATTACATGGAACACTGTATTGAATCACTTTATCCCTGTTCAATTCATTTTTTTCTGTTTCAACTGATGTTTCTGTCAGTGATTTAATTTTTAATCAACGGGGGGACTACAATAAAGGGCATAAGACAATCCATTTATTTTAGTAAATAAGATCCTTTGGTGAGTGTTCTTGTATGAGTCAGAGGAATGCTTATTATTAAACTTTGTGAACACTGTATTGATTTTTCCCCCTTTGCTCTAGTTCCAGTGATAAAGAAGACTTGGGAAAAGGATGCCTTTTTTTTAGAATACTACAGTGACCACACTGATCCTTCGATACCAACCATTAATTTAGGAGTTCCAAACACTGAACGAGGTAAGTTCTTCCTTTTATAGCCTCCATGCCCTCAACCTCTTCACAGCAGATGCAGTTTGTGGCCTTGGCTCATGCTGCAGGCAGAGCCGTATACGTATGTTCATGAAAAATTATGTGGCAGACTAAGGTGGAATGTTATACGACCTGAGACCTTGTGAAGGGGATGTAATTCAAACCTAATACTGGAGGAGAATTGAGAGCAAATTATGTGTCAGTGGGGAATTTCTCAACGTTTTGCTTTTAAAAGCATCTTTATAGTACCTTAAAGCAGGTCACAAATGAGAGACAGACACACTTTTTTATTCATTGTGAAATTTTTATTTTATTTTATTTTTTTATTAGCCTTATTTTTTTATGTATATATTTTTTGGGGGAAAATGGATTTGAGCCTCATTTCCCTTAAACCCAAACAAGACAATGTTGAATCAATTCAAATCAGCTTCCTTATATTGCACCAATTTAAAAGCAAAAGTCATTTTAGGGCACTATATACAAAAGAAAAAACAAGTCAAAAAATAAAAAAAATAGCCAAATGTTAAAATTCATATTTTCTGTAGACAGTATAGAGGTCTGCATACTGGATTTTAAAGTTTAGTTTTCTAAGTTTTAAGACACCATACACATTATTTACCTTGCAAATTAAAAACTAAATAGACCAAAGATGTCAAAGCTGCCTGATCGCATATTAAACTAGTTTTGCACTTTGGAATTTAAAAGTTAAAAGAAATCTTAGTCTGTGATGTAAATGATGCCACGCAAGTCACAATACATAGTTTCCACATGTCTCTACCGGAAGTGTGCAGCGCTACTTTTCCACCATTATAGTAGGCAAGTGTTAGACAGTGACGATCATGATGGCTTTCAGACAAACCAAAACAAAGTTATTGATACTCTTGACCAATGTGCAAGAGAAAGATAAATCCAGAAAATTGCTGCTGTTGGGATTGACCAGTACAGAAGTAGAAGTACAGAAATAGAACATGTCAGTTATTATGGCATAGTTGATTATTTATTGAACATGAGGAGTGCGCATGGAAAGATCTTTGCGGCCTGAAATCCACAGACATATACAATCAATGCTTTTTAACAGCTTTGTGAAGGACATCTGAACTGAGAGCTACCTGGTTAAATAAAGGTTTAAATAAATGAATAAAAATATTAACATGCAACCCCCTCACATAATGACCCCAGGCCCAACTCGGAACTAGAACCAGGACATTCTTGCTGTGAAGTGACAGTGCTAACCACTAAGCCATTGTGATGCCAATACCACATTAACACTGATGACTAGGACATATTTTATGATGGCAGCACGGTGGCACAGTTGGTAGAGCTGCTGCCTCTCAGTGAGCAGGTTGCCCCGGTTCAAATCCCGGTCCAGGTACCCCGTCTCTTGCACAGTAATAGCTGGACATGGGCACCAGTGACCCATAAAGGAAGAAGTGGGTAAAGTTAATGGATGGATGGATGGAAGGATATTTTATGACATTTTGAGTTGTGTCAGTGCAACTAATGCTCAAAATTACAACATGGGTATTTATGTGGGCAGAGCGAGTGTTTACAGTGTGGAGGTTTACCACATAGCATAGCTAAGCTATCTACAGTAGAGGTATTCCAAGAGTAGTTCCAGCACACATACAGATATACTCGGACATTGTCTAACAAAATGAATGATATATTGTTTACTGGAATAAAAGTGACCAGAGCAAATTCTAGACATTTTCTAATGCTGATTCTTGTGGTTGATGTTTCCATGCTAGACTTGCCGACATTCTGCACTCAACCCCTACATTTGAGGTCCTTCTCATTTCCATTTTTCAGGGTGAAGTGAAAACAGCACTTTGCCAAACCATCTGCCTGGTTGGAACATCCTTTAACTCAACATGAAATAACCATTGTGATTTACGTAAAAAATACTCCTTGATGGTCAAACTTACTCGACCGTGACTGGAGCTATTATACACCTATTAAAATGGTGGTTAGGTAATAAGTGCCCGGATATGTTACGTTAAATGAAAACTATGTATTGTGTTCTCAAAAATAAAGAGCAAAGTTCAGTTGCTAGAAGCCAATTTCCTGTAAACTATTCCTCAATATTCAAGCTCCTGCATCTTATAAATGCTGTAATTTACATCAGAACTGAAAACCCACTGCACAAATGAAAGGTGAAATTATGATATTCATCAGGTACGCAGTTGTTAACCGCCAACCTGGTGACAAAGCCCGACAGTGGTTCCCTCTGGATGTGTGCTGCACATGACTGACAGTAAGAAGGAGATCCTGGGACAGATCAGGTGTCACTGCAATGTATTTAATCTGAAAGCCTTGTTGTCCAGATGGATGGAGGAATTGATGAATTTCAGTCTACATTAAATGAAAATTATTATTTTAATGTCATAGTCAGTTTTTTTTTTCATTTGCACACCCTTATATCAGCTTTACCTGGCAACATTTTGAGTGGAACTTCTGTCATTTCTGAACGAACTTGTCAGGAAAGTCTACTTTTTAGCAGTCTGTGCCATCAAGTAATTCTGACAACATCTCAGTTATTTTATTCATAGCCCTGCCACAACTTTTTTTAAATTATATTTCATTCAAACATCTATTTGCACAAGGGATCGACAGGACACGGACTCAACATGTGTTATAGAATGAACAATGAAAGAAGACATTTCTGTATCTGCTATAGAACGTCAGAAACCATAAGAATGGTCTGAGCAACCTGGGATAGTTTATTTAAAAAAACAGCACAAGGTCTCTTCCTCAATGCTTTTCATTTGCTTGAGGCAGGATCCAAACTTATTCTACAGTCAGACAGCTGCTGGCATTAAATTTCTCCAAAGACCTCTGATTCATGTTCCACCTTAATGGGATTTTCACTGGCTGGAGACATTTTCAGTCCAGTGTAGTGTTGCTCAGAGGAGTCTGGTTCAATCTCTAGCCTGGGTTTCTGTCTTCAGGCAGCTTAGTCCTCTAACAAGGTGGCCTTTTTGCAACCTCCTTTCAAGACAGGAGAGAAGGAGGTGGGTTGCCACTGGTTATCTGTTATATGTAGCATTGCAGAGAGTTATTAAGGTAAAATGTAGCAGGAGTTTCAGGCCAGTTTTTAGTTGATTCTAACTCCCATTCTTATATTTTATCTCCACCTGAACACAGTTGATGGTAAAAGGGTCTAACAAAACCACAACCAGTTTTATTTATGGCGCCCAATACAGGTGCGCTAGTTCTTCTGCACTTTTAAACCTTAGAAATAGAATAATGCTGAAAATTATTTATATTTTATATAGTTTTCTTTATAGCAGATTAGGCAAGGGATGATACGTTCTCTCCTTTTTTGATTGTTGCTATTTTAAAATGCCTTCTGATGGTTGTGCAATGAAAAAATAATTTGATTTCCAGACATTTTTGTACGTGTAGATTCTCATTACAAAACCATGAACAGGAAGAGTGTGACTCCCTAGTACCTGCAAGTTTTATGTGCTGTTCAAAACATTGCAACATTTCTGCTTAAAAATAATAAAATAAATAAAATAAAAGCAGTGAAGGAAAGTGTGCCCTTCTCACTTATATTGTCTACCAGTGCATGCTAGTTTTTCTTTTCTTCTGGGAGGCAGTAATCTCATTTTGGCAGCGATCCACAGCCCATCACGAAGGACTTATTTTTGGTAAACAGCCAAAAAGCCCTCTGAAAGTGTGTTCTGTTAAAACTTTAAAATGATTTTGCATCTTGATGAATAAACTATCTTTTGGATGTCTGGACGGATATTATTCTGAAGTAAAAACATTAAAAAATAATAATAATTATATTGTTTGAAAGTTATTGTGCAAAGAAGGGTGATCTGTTAGCTAAAATTTAAATAAAAAATAATTTTGAATCAAATTTTGATCCATCCATCATCTTCCGCTTGTTCCAAAGTGGGGTCTTGTGGTCAGCAGCTTGAGCAGAGAGGCCCAGACATCACTTTCCGCAGCCGCCTCTTCCAGCTCTTCCAGGAGGATTCCAAGGTGTTCCCAGGCCAACAGAGAGACATAGTCTCTCCAGCGTGTCCTGGTTCTTCCCTGGGGTCTCCTCCCAGTTGGACATGCCCAAAGCACCTCCTTAGGGAGGCTTCCAGGGAACATCCTTACCAGATGCCTGAACCACCTCAAATGGTTCCTTTCAATGAGGAGAAGCAGCGGTTCTACGCTGAGTATCTCTCAGATAACTGAACTTCTCACCTGATGTCTGAGGAGAGTCCAGCTACCCTGCAGAGGAAACTCATTTCAACCGCCTGTATCTGCAATCTCATTCTTTTGGTCACTACCCAGAGCTCGTGGTCATAGGTGAGGGTATGAACGTAGACCGACCAGTAAACAGAGAGCTTTGTCTTACAGCTCAGCTCTCGCGTCACCACAATGGACCGGTACAGAGTCCACAATACTGCAGATGCTGCACTAATCTGTCTGTCAGTCTCACACTCCATTCTTCCCTCACTCAGGAACAAACCCCCATTTTTCCAAAGAGAACAATTTTTGATCATTTAGTTTAATTATTGTTTGTTTATTTTAAAGTAAGATATTATCTAAAGATAGTACAAAGGCTCTTCTAAACAACAAAGTCCATGCGCAATAATCTAAAGGTTCAAAACTAACAATCCAATCAATGGCTATAACCTAATGGCTAAAGCATTTTGCTTGTAGTGATCACCGTTGTTTTTACTACTTGTTCAGAAGAGGATGTTGAGATGGAGGAAATGAAAGAAGTGTTTTCTTCACAGTAATTTTTACTGAAATGCATGCATGTTTTACTTACAAGAGGCAGTTGTCTGGTGTTGGCAACATTTTGCAGTCTGTCGTTGACAACTAGTTTGGAAAACAGCCACATTTATGAAGCTTCCATCAGTCAAATGGAGCTTAAAACAGATTTCACCTACCGAAGGTAAATGCACGTGTACCCTGAAGCCACAATAATGATTTGACAGGAAAACAAACCCTTCATGACTGAAGTAAAAATAAACAATAAACAATTTATGTGTCTCTTATTAATAAGCAAGCAGGACTGAAATATGAATGATTTCATCATTATGTGTTTTTCCCAGAGCCAGAAGGTTTATGCTAATCCTGAGTTCATCCAGCACCACTGTGTTTGGATTCATCTCCACTATCTGGCCTGTGCCCCTCAGATTATATCATCCAACCAAACAAAATGAAAAACTGTATTAAAAATGGCCGATAAGCAGACAGAAAATCATTCTAGAGAGTCCAAAGAGAGAGAAAGGTCATTGCGTTGTCTTGTTGACCCATTTTACAGCCATCTGGTTTATTATGCTGCTGCCATAACAAAATATTGTCACATTTTTACAGAGACAATGAGCAATGAACTCAGCTGGCTAATATTAAAAAGACAGGAAGTGAAAGGAACGATGACTTAAGATCCTGAAATGGTGGCGTAAGAACTTTTGCTCATTCAACAATATTCATGGCTGTGAGCTTTTCTTGTTTCCAGTGTGTGTGGGGGGAAAAAAAACAACTATAGATATATAGAGTGAAATTTTCTGTGATATTAAAAGTAGTTGCTGTTTGTTTTTATTTTTTATTTTCTGTGGCCATTTCTTTTTTTATCACTTGAAACTAGAAGTCACTGCATGATCTGGAGCATCACAAACAACCTACTTCAAACAACGTACTGGCCTTGTCTGGATGTCTGCCTTTTAAAGTGTGACTTTTGGATTATATTCCTGTCAGGGTGTCTTTTCTTATTCAATATTCAGATCCAAAGGAGAAAAAAAAATCTTGGGTCTCTTATAAATAAAACAATTGGGTCTCAGTATTCTTTGTGATGCTTTGCCACCAGGGATTTCCATTCATTCCTCTGCTCTGAGCCCTCATGAAGAGTCTGAATTCTGATGCTTTTTTTGTTTCTGTGTGTCTCTAGGTAAATATTGTTTACTACCACATCACAAGTTCTTGTCCTTAAAAGATGACAGAGCATTTTGTTCCATCTGGACATCATGTCAAACATGCCAGAGTAAATGTTTGATCCTTCTGGCCCGTCATGGCAGACACTTCTTTCTGTGAGCTGTCAGAAGGTCGACGGGCCTTCTTTCTCCTCACAAAGACACGTTTCTTAAAGTTAATAGCCGACTAGAAAAATCCTATTGACTGCAGCACAATTGAACGCATTAGAAACGTGAATAATTTTAGTGAAAGGCACCACGACCCTGGGTTGACTTGTTTGATCTCTGAAGCAGCTGATGTGTGCACCGACAGCCAAACGTTCTGTTCAGGTGTCCTTGAGGGGAAAACAGAGCTGCTGTGAATTTATGCTTACAATGCACAAAACCTGAAAAGCAAATGTACTTTGCAAATGCAAAGTGGTGCACATTGTACAGTTTTGGCACAATAGTACTACTTATCTTTATTTCCTTCTAAAAAGGCATCTATAAGTTATTCTTTCTCCGCTGTTTTTTCTTTTTTTAATTGAGACCTTTTTGTCACTCTTGTCCTTTAAATGTTTGGTGTTGATTTTTTTTTAACGTCTTTGTTGTCATGTCTTGTGAATGTGTTTGTGTACCCAGGCATGTGGACATTTAAATAAGTGCAAGTGTGTCGTTCTTCCTAACCGGGTCATTTATCTTTGCGCACCACGGTACTGCACACGGTCAATATGTAATCAAGTCGCTCCGGCTCCTCTGTTGATAGCATGTCTTCATTTGCAGGCCACTGTGGGAAAACCTTTGCAATCCTGCAAAGATTTCTGAGCAGTGCTGTCCCGAACACCACGTGGCTTGTTATTGTGGACGATGACACTCTTATCAGGTATGACAGTGTGGTGGCAAAAGAATGGTTTACTTCGTATTACTTTTTAAACAAATGTATTCTCAGTGCAGTCTTTCAGGTAAGCTAAAAATTGACTGACATTCATAACTGTAGCGTTTTAGCTTGGAAGAGATTTGCACAGTGGCAAAGTGTGAAACTTGGAACTCGTGACGTCACTTTGTGAGAATAAATTCCAGAGAGATTAACATTCTGTAGAACATCTAAAAGGCTCAGCGTCTAAATGAACATCCAGCTGGCCTTACTTTCACTCAGGCTGCCCCATTTATGTGGAATCCTCTGGATAGTGCCAGAGGGAGAGCAGCTCCAGTCTCTAAATGGACATTTTCATAGCCATTTAATCACACTCATTTGTCCATGATGTTAGTGTGTATGGTCCTTTTGCCTTTCTGCAGCCTCCCGCGACTCCAAGTCTTGCTGAGCTGTTACGACCCCTCTGAGCCGGTGTGTCTCGGAGAGAGATACGGCTACGGGCTGAGCCAAGGCGGCTACAGCTACATCACCGGAGGCGGAGGGTGGGTATTTTTTTACAGCTCAAACGCTTTAAGATGATGAAAATAAATAGGCAGTAGATTAATAATGAATACCTTTATCTTTAATTGAATTATAAACCTTTGAAGTTTGATTTAGAAATGTGCTTTAACCTCTTGAGATGCTGCGTCCACATATGGGGACATTACATTTTGCTTTGCTGTGCCTTGTACTTCACTCTGTTCAGTAGTGTTTTATACTTTGTTAAGCCATGTTAATGTTGTGTTATGCTGTAAAATAAGCCCATTGTCCCCATCTGAGGACGTTTTTTTTTTTTTTTAACAAAAGTCATAACCATGTAACAAAATACAACTTCCTGTTCGAAGAGGAAACTTTATTTATACACAAATCAGGTCCGTCTAATCGCAAATATCTAGGAGATATGGAAAATGCATCGCAAACCAGAGCTTGGGTCTCAGGAGGTTAAGGAATATCTGTGTTGCCAGAGATCCAATAAAGGAAAAAAAAGTTTTGTTATTTGGTGCATTGATATGACAAAAATTCAACTTCGCTCACACTTAATTAAATTAATTCAGGATACAATTAAATAGTCTCTTGATGAGATAATTTGTATTTCTGGATTCAAATCAGTGAAATAACAGTTCCTGTCCCCTGAAGGTCTTCAGAGACAGGTTGAGGTCGGAGGCCTAGTTCACTACAAACTTAACGATTGTTTAAAATCCCTTAGAGATCAAAGTCGACAGCTTCAGATCTTTTTGCAAGGTGTTCCAGGTTGCAGGTTACAGGAGCGGAGTAAGAAAGGCCTTTTTGCCTAATTCAGTCTGCACTGAGTGGACGCTGCAGGGCATGATGTCCTGAGAGCGCACGCTGTAGCTGCACTGATGATGTGACATGTAGGAGGAGATGTATGAAGACAGCAGACCATGGAGTGATTTAAAGATGAAAATGTACCAGTGTGTGAGCCTGCATGCAGTTAATGATGACCAGTTGACCAATGAGTACAGAGTGCAGTGATGGGTACAGTAGTTACAGCCAGTTATGAATCTTGGTGCACCGTAATAGACAGCAGCCAACCTCTGCAAGGTGCTTGCAGGAGCATTCATATAAGTAATGTGTCACCATAGTCAATGGCTGGAAGGAAAGTCGCAGTTACAAGATGTTTCCTAGCATTCAAAGTTAAGCAAGATCTATTTCTGAAAAAGAAACCCAATTTTAATTTCAGTTTCTTTGTTAAGTTTTCGACATGCAATTTAAAAGAGAGATGTGCATCAACCAAGATTCACAAGTATTTGTAAGAGTCAGCAAGCTCAATAAGAACACCATCCATAGATAAGATAGGAGGAAGGACCGCTGGTACCAACTTTCTGTTTGAAAACACCATCACTTTGGTTTAATCAGCATTTAGCACCAGTTTGAGACGGAACAAGTCTGATTGGATGATGTCAAATAATGCAGACTGTAAAAGCTGGAAAATCTTGGCAACTCTTTTAGCTCGACAATATACAACTGTATCATCGGCATAGAAATGCAAGAACATGTCAGGAATGTTCTGACCTACATTACATTACTTATGTAGATTGTGAAGAGAGTGGGTCCTAAGACTGAACCTTGTGGTACACCATTGTTGACACTTAAATAACTGGAAGAAGTACCATTGTGTTGAACACATTGCTTTCAGCCTGAGAGATAATTAGAAAACCAATCAATAATGTGATCCGAGAAACCAATTTCTGAAAGCTTATGACATAAAATGTCATGGTCTACAGTATCGAAAGCTTTAGACAGGTCTAAATAAAGTGCAGCACAGTACAGTACTCTGTAGCATCCAATGCTTCAGGAACATCATTAAAAACCTTCAATGAAACAATTATACCAACAATGCAGACCAAGACTGCAGACCAACACAAGCAGCTCAAAAACGAAACAAAAATGTCATTATAAACAAAAAAACTGTAAGTTTTGATGCTACAACATAAACAAGATGAACACAGGGAGGCACAGAGAGGGCTGACCAAAAACAGACTGGTGTGAGGAATGCACAATGGTCCACTGAATTGTGAAATGACAACCAAGAGTATTCGTGGACTGAAACTGATGAGATGAGGAACAGCTGGGCTAAATGAGACAGGTGTGAGCTGGAGTGGCAGGACTGGGCAGCAAAGACTTAACTGGGATAAAATAATGAGGGTGGCTGGAAACACAGGGAGGCAAGGAGTAAACCAAGCACAAAGAAAATACAAAAACCAAAACGAACATGAAAATAAAAGTGGAAACAGAAAGCAAACTCTGACCATGATACGCTTCTTCATTCCACGCTGTCACTTTCCTCAAACTGAGATTTTCTCTCTCCAGTTTATTTATATTTTCTCATTTCAAACAGGTGTCAGCTCAATTTGCAGTTTCACTCTACACTTTTCCCTCCTGCTGAATGAATAAATAATGCATTATAGCCCCTAAAATGATATCTGAGACATGCAACATGTCATATTTTGTAGTTATTTCTAACATTTCCCTTTAGATTGGTGATTTAGACTAAGGTTGTTTTTTTTTTTTTGTCTCTGTTTTGTTTTCATGTGTGCCGTGTCGCTGCAGTATGGTGTTCAGCAGGGAGGCTGTGGTCCGAATTCTGAACAGTGGCTGCAAGTGCTACAGCAATGATGCGCCGGATGACATGGTGCTGGGAATGTGCCTCAATTCTCTCAGGCTTCCCATCACACACAGTCCTCTCTTTCACCAGGTTGGGTTCAACATTTTATGTGCTTTCCTTTCACTGTGTACAGACTGTGAGAATCATTTGGTGTTTTCAAAGAAAAAAACGCATTTTACAAAAAAAAAAAACCTAGAGAAATGGCATTTCCTGCAAAAAGGCAGTGTGAATGCTTATTGCAAAAAATTGTTGAAAAACATCTGAAATTAGGTTAAAAAAAAAAAAAACATGCTTAAATGTAGCATAAGTACAAGACCAAGCCTAAATTAGCAGAAAAAGCAGAACACATATTTGCTAAATTGGATTTAAATAAGCAGAAATTAGCACAAAAATTTGGAAATTAACTAAAAAAGTTAAAACTGGCAGAAAATAGCTGAAAAGTAGCTGAAAAGACAGAAAAAAGTTTAAGCTACCAGAAGGAAGTGGAAGGAGCTGAAATGAGCTCCGAGAATGTGGAATTGGATGAACAAGCTAAATTTAGCACAAAACAGCTAAAAAGTAGATGAAATAGCAAAAAAAGCTGAAAGGAGCATACAAAGCTGAAATTAGCAGGGAAAAAAGTTAATTAGGCTGAAAGTAGCAAAAATGAGTACAAAAAGTGAAAATTATCTGAAAATAGCAGAAATTTGATTAAAAAGCAGCCAAGTAGTAGCTAAAAAAACAGAAAGGAGCTGAAATTACAAGAAGGAAGTTGAGAGAGCACATTTTTTGCTGAATTGGGCTTTAAAAAAAGTTTAAATTAGTGCAAAAAATGTGTATTAGCTGTAAAAGCTAAAATTACCATGAAACAGCTAAAGATTAGCTGAAATAGCAGAAAAATCTGAAACTTGCAGAAATAAGCTGAAGAGTGCATATCAAACTGAAATTAGCAGAAAGAAAAGAAAGGAGCACAAAACAGCTGAAAAAGAAAAACCCAGCTGAAATTAGCTGAAAGTAGCTGAAAAAAGTTTAAATTTGCACAAGGAAGCTGAAAGAAGCTGAAGCAGAACAAACCATGAAAGGAGCAGTAAAAAGGTTATAAACAGATCTAAAGATTTGAAGGATGTAAAATGAGCTCAGTTCATTTTCTATGAGAAAGAAAGTAGTAGAACAGGCTAAATATTTCAAAAGGCTAAAGTTGCACCAATACCAAAAGTCATAGCAGGATTGTCCTGAACGAGCTGAACGTTTTGATTTATGATTTGTTTAAATAGCACAAAAATTGTGGAACAAAAAAGATGCTGAAAAACGTACGTAAGAAAGATGTATCACAATAGTGTGAATGTTTACTAAGCATTCACACAACATCAATAAAATATTATTCTGAATAAGAATAATGAGGGTCGCATTTTTTTATAGTTGCAACTTCGTGCACTCCGCCCATCTTTCAGACGACTGTACGTACATATTCTCGTTGGATCTTGGTGCAACGATAATAAAGTTTATTCTGATTCTGATCAGCTTGCTAAAGGACTGTATATGTAGAATTACTTTTTTCAGCATAGAGAAAAATGTTTTCTGGAACAGGTTTTTCTCTGAGATTCATGAGGGGTATAATGTGAGTATAAAGCAGCTTGTATAGATTCATGTTGGTCAACAACAACCAATGCGTCAACATCTAAATTTCAAAGGCCTTTCATATGCATGCAGTTCTTTCTACTTTTTCTTGTAGTGCATGGAAGTTGTTTTTTATATGCTCCAATACAACCTATTGAATGGAAACACTTCATTTCTTTGTCTGAGAAACTTAATTGAAGCACCAACACAAGGCCAGGCAAAGAAGACGACGTTGTATCATCAAATCCGTAGCCAGATGAGATGAAAATGTTGTTTGAATACAATGGCAGGCATGTTTCGCTTTTAAAAAAAGATTTATTTTTAAAATCATCAGTGGGGATGAGCTTTTCTTTCCAGTGTTGGATCATAGTGAGAGAAGAGGGTTCTTATATGTACTTTTTAAACTATGTTGGGTGTGAAGTGGCACAACTGCGCTTGTGTTTGTGTGCAGGTTGTATCATGTTTGATGCAAACTGCATTAACTTATCATAAACTAAAAACTGCAGAAGAGTCCAGGCAGGATGGAGAAAAGTTTTTTGACAAGAAGGTGTCGGCAAAGGTCAAAGAAAAGGTTTACAAGACAGTGGTGGGACCAGCTATGTTGTTTGGTCTGGAGACAGTGATATTGACAAAAAGACAGGAGACAGAACTGGAAGTGGCAGAAATGAAGATGTTGAGGTTCTCCTTAGGAGTGACGAGGATGGATAAGATTAGGAATGAGATGATCAGAGGTGCAGCATGGGTTGAACAACTGGGAGATAAAGTTAGAGAGACCAGACTGAGATGGTTTGGACATGTCCAGAGGAGGGACAGTGGGCATACTGGTAGAAGGATGTTAGAAATGCAGCTGCCAGGAAAAAGACAAAGAGGAGATCTATGGATGCATTTAGAGATGGAGGTAGTTGGAGTGAGGACAGAGGATGCAGAGACCAGAGTGAGATGGAGGAGGATGACTCTGTGGCGATCGTTGAAAAGGAAAAAGCCAGAAGAAGAAGAAGATTAAAAACTGCCACCATCTTGAGCAGATTAACAGTTGTACACAGAAAATAATGTTTTAGGGCCTTTTAAAGAGCAGATATTTTGGACAATAGCATCAAAAAGGAGCTCAGCTAATATTGATTTGAGTAATTGCACATGTGCTATCCATCCATCATCTTTACCCGCTTCTTCCTTTTTGGGTCTCGGGGGTCAATGGAGCCCGTGTCCAGCAGTCATTGTGCGAGAGCCGGGGTACACGCTGGACAGGTCTCCAGTCCATCACAGGGACACACGGAGACAAACGAGACAAACAACCATTCACTCTCTCACTCACATCTAGAGACAATTTAGTTACCAATCAGCCTAACATGCATGTTTTTTGGTCTGTGGGAGGAAACTGGAGTACCCGGAGAAAACCCACGCGTGCACGGAGAGAACATGCAAACTCCACCCAAAGAGGCCCCCGGCCAGGATTTGAACCAATGACCTTCTCGCTGAGAAGCGGCAGCTCTACCAACTGCTCCACCGTGCTGCCCACACATGTGCTATTCTTTCAAAAATGTAATGATTCAAAAACAAATCTGAGCAATTTATCCCACTCGAGGAGCTAGGAGCGTGTAAACATGTGTGTAGATTTCTTTGACAGCTGCAGCTTCCTGTTGCAGTTCTTACCCTTCTTCTTTCCTTTCAGGCCCGCCCCGAGGACTACGCCAAAGAGCTTTTAGCTCACCAGGTGCCCATCTCCTTCCATAAACACTGGAACATCGACCCCGTTGGTGTTTTCAACAAGTGGCTCAGGGACGACTGGAGGGCGAAGACTTTAGATGAACTTAGGAGATCAGAGTTATGATGAGCACACATGGGTCTGTGTGTGTGTGTGTGTGTGCTTGGTAAGAGAATAAAGAATTATATCTACAGTATACACATATGTAAATGTTTTTATATTGTTACCGTTGAACTGTTATTAAAGGGACCATGTGAGCGTGTGTCTGTGTGTTTCCATGCCTGCGCTGCATGTTGAGATTGAGCTTCATTTTGGAAATATTTGTATATTTATATTTATGAACATTGTGAACATGTCACTCTGTTCATATCTTGACTTTTTTTTTTCTCCTCCGGGAAGTACTTTATCCTTTAAAACTGATCAGGAATGCCGTAAATAGGATCTATTTTGACGTAAAAGCTTGAAAATCTGACACTAATTTGCCTTTTAGTCCCATCAGAGGCTCATTTCATGACTTTGTTTAATCCAGCGGTGTGCTAATAATTAGGTTAACAATTAAATGGGTTAAAAATGAAATTAAAAAGCTGGAGTATGAAACTTTTATTAATCACTGCTAAAAAAACACATCTGTAAAAATCTTTAAAGCATCTTGATCGTTGGTAATTTGTGCTAAAAGTTGCCTTCCATGTTGTTAAATGTGTCTCCTGGTTCATGGACAGATAAATGACACTTCTTTTTTTTTTTAACTCAAACGTTTTATTTTTTCATGTTTTTGCTAAAATCATCTTTTCAGTCTCTTTGACCTTTGACTGAGGCGCAAACGGGCAAAAGGTAATTTCATGCACAGTTTCTTGTAAAGCCTTACCTATTATATTAAAAGTTTTTATTAACATCAATCCCCAATTTTTCATTTCCTCCTTCCACTCTCTCTCTCGAACAATTAATGAGCGGACTCCGTAATTTGCTGACCATTATTGAAAATCTTTCAAAGGCTTTGAGCTTCACTGTGGGTATTAAACATTTCTTCTTCTGGCCGTTTGCCATGTTGAACATTTTAATTGCGGCTGTAATGCTTCATTCGTGCAATAAACTCGAAGAGGCCGACGCTTCATAACGGCGACAGGAGCTTTTGTAAAAGTGAGGATAATGAAAGGCTTCACGTTACTCTCATCAAATGCAAATATGAAAAGTTAATAAAGTAAAACTCATTACTGCTTAAGACTGTCGCATTGTAAAACAGAGTGTGTTCATGTACTCGGAGGTTCTGTCTCCACTGTGCCACTGGATTCACACTGTCCTAACAGCACAGCAGACTGGCTCTGGTTCATGAAACGTCTAATAGCCTCAGGCGTTTCGAGGCAGTGCAATAACTCAAGTAGACATCCTCCAACACACCTATGAATTGTAAGCTATTTGCAGGAAACAAATTAAATTCCTAGTGGGACTTCCCCACACATGGAGTAATGAGTGGGCGATGAGACGGTGCTCTTCGGAGTGGAATCCTCAGCGTAAATCAAAATAAGATGCCAGCCTCAACATCCTAATGATGTTCAACTTTATCTAGTGTGGATTTTAATATCCAGTGTTTGAGCAAAACTTAGAAACAGGCCACAATAATTTATCAATTAAAGTTTGTTTGCAGCTAGTAGTCTGAATTTAATGAATGTTTTGGACGTATTTTTACAGAGGAAAGTTTGCTTGGAATAAAAATGTATGCAGTTATTTCTAGCTAGATTTTACACGATCATTACACATTAATTATTATTAAATTATAACCGTGGGAGTAATAGATTCCATTTTTCTGCAGCATTTTGTTCTCATTGACAATTGCCACCTACAGGCCTGTCCCACCCCCCACACAACATTATAGCAGCCCTACTTCTGCAGGACAACAGGACGCCACTAAAGCTGCTTAGAAAAGGCTTAAAGACCACAACAAATCAAAAAGTCTACGGAGGTCGTCCAGCATCCTTAGATACCAATCTGATGGGATTTGATGTCATCTGAAGGAAGCAGGCCTAATCCTCAGAGACCACACCAAACATCCTGCACCACCCAAAGAATTTGAAGAAGATCCTGGTACCAGTTCCACTCCACTGTTCAGCACTGGCCCGACTCGTCTGATGTGTTTTGGTGGCAACAAAGAGACGTGACATTCGCGAACAATCCAGATCGTTTGAACGGCTCCTTACAACGAACGATGAGAGCCGGGTTACGGACAGTAAAGAACTGTTCCTAGTTTTATTTTTTTCTCATATTTTTTTTCATGTTTTCCTCTTTAAATGCAGAGACAAGTGCTCCTCCTTCACTTGCAGAGAGGAGGAGTGCAGCAAATTAGGAGAAGAAGCGAAAGGCGAAGAGTTCCCGCTTGACAAAATGCGTGGTACAGGCCTGACGACGTGTGTGGTGACATCACCGTCGATCAGAATTGAACTTCTGTTGAACGGCTCTATGAAGCAAACGGAATGTCAAGAACCGGTTCCCTTCAAAGAGCCATTTATCCCAAATTTACAACAATAGGAGCTACTTAAAATTGACTATACAGTAGTCCCTCGTTTATTTCGGGGGATCCGTACCCTGAAGACCAGCAATAAGTGAAAAACCGCAAAATAGAAATAGAAGTACAAGCAATAAATAGTAGTTTGTTTTACTGTATGTTTATATAAACATGTTTTAAACCCTTCACTCACTCTTACAATATTCTAAATAATGTTTCTAAACGGTAAAAGCTCTAAAAGAGCACAGCATGTCATGATTTCAGCTCTCTCCATCCAGCTGCTCTCTGCCACCTGCCAGCGCTCTTGGCCACGCCCACTTCTCCACTGCAGAGCTGAGATTTTTATTTTCTTCATTCAACCTTTATTTAGACAGGTCAATCCCATTGAGCCTCCAGGACTTATTTACAAGAGAGACCTGAATATGACACGCTGCATGAAGAAGCTTCCCCTGCAGCTTGGACTGCACACAGGTGCTAAATAATTTTACAAACCGGATTCCAAAAAAGTTGGGACACTAAACAAATTGTGAATAAAAACTGAATGCAACGATGTGGAGATGGCAAATGTCAATGTTTTATTCACAATATCACATAGATGACAGATCAAAAGTTTAATCTGAGTAAATGTAACATGTTAAAGGAAAAATATGTTGATGAAAAATTTCACAGTGTCAACAAATCCCAAAAAAGTTGGGACAAGTAGCAATAAGTGGCTGGAAAAAGGAAATTGAGCATATAACGAACAGCTGGAAGACCAAATAACACTAATTAGGTCAACAACATGATTGGGTATAAAAAGAGCTTCTCAGAGTGTCAGTGTCTCTCAGAAGCCAAGATGGTAAGAGGATCACCAATTCCACCATTGTTGCGCAGAAAGATAGTGCAGCAATACCAGAATGGTGTTACCCAG